TTGAATCTGAACAGACTACACAATAGTTTCTGATTGGTAAACTTGGGAGTAGTGCAGTTTTCTGTTTTCAGACAATCCGACTTCTCACCAAAATTCATTCTGCAAGTATAATCTTTTCCAACAAAGTGATTACTCCAATCACGCAAACAACGTTTTATCATATATCCTTTGTTAGCATAATATGTGCATATTCGCTGGATGCTTCGAACATGAAACACCCCAATAAATCTGTTCCAGAATACTCTCTCAAGTCTTCGGGCTTCCTCAACGCATTCATTGCCGATGCACAAAAACACGTTGCTTATTTGACAGTACCATCGCATCGATACACTGCATTCTCCTACCCCCCCTCGTCATATACCACATAGCACCCCATCTGGCGACACACAATCCCAGAGAAATAGTATGTGTATGTGGTCATCCCAGAGAGTATATGTATGTGTACGTGTTGTCGTTTGACAATACATTAATAGTCGATCTCGCAAAGTAGCCCACCATATTCGGGATACTCTAAGAAGAATATCTTATAATCGCCCCCTATATGATAATCTCTCCGCGTGATACTCGCTTGTGCTGAAATATGGTTTCTCTGCTGTGCCGTCCTCTACCCGAGGACTGGCTTTGCTACTCGCGAGTATCGAACCGCCTGCAGTATCCAGACAACAGGAACATATACACTCCATCAGCGGCGTTTATGAGTTTGTTGCATCTATTTGTTCTTATTCGGACCACTCTTCCCCGCAGTCCCCATTAGATACCTGAACAAGCCCTGCGTCGATGTATCCTATTTCTATTTGCGGCAGCTTCTTTAGCTGAGAACTATTTAATCGTGCATTACATTCCCAACGGTAAAAATTCAGCTCATTTATGCGCATAACCCCAGAACAAAATATCATCAAATGACTGCGTTCTGTGTCTTTTCAGCGACCTGACGGTGGCCACAATCATGGAACAACCGTTAACATATGAATGTTTCCCCAACAAGTAATCTTGAGTGCTCATTCAAACGATATTGGCTGGGCATACTTGCAAGACACAACGAACATACAAAAATGCCTCAGGTGTCTGTTCCAACATGCTCTCACAGGTTCGAGAATCGGCGCCACATTCGTCGTCAATGCACAATAAAACTCTCATTCCGAAAAAAAAAAAAGCATTGTCCCAATTGTGCAGCGTGGGCCTCTGCACCGTGTTCGTCCCATCTCCCCCTCAACATACACTACATTGCAAAGCATCCAGCGAAACATCGCATCACTGTGGACTAGAAAACGATGTCTCTTGCAAGCATACTATATCACACAAACTGAATTCTTTCGGTCTTCCACACTGCAGGGCATATACCACTTACCGTGACCCGATATGAAGTGGTGATTTTATAATTCTTTCGTTGTAACAAAGCTCTCATCAGTGCCAAAAATGCTAGCAAATGGGATTAGGAATCGTTCCTCAGTACCGTTTAAAAATTGTGATACACTTAACTGCACTCGCCACCATCGCCTTGCGATGGACGCCACATCCCATTTTCCGCACCATCTTTGTTCGACATATGTACGGCAACACTCTCATCACAACTGCTTTCGACCATCATGTCATCAATTTTTTTGTCGTACTTTACTACACAAATTTTGCCTGTTTTATTTGTCCTTCAGATGGATTTTGCTGGGCCGACTCGCAGAAAATCTTGGAACATACAAACTAGCCTGCTCCACAAAATTCGTTTGTATGTTTCTCTAGCCGGGTTTGTTGGACATCATCGCAACGTCAATTACACTCTAAACATACAAATAGGTATACGATCTGGCGGTCTCATTCATAGTGACCCACAATGGCAACTGTAAACTGCACCTCATGCATCGTGAGTGGGTTCTCATACAAGCTTTCTTTATAAAAACATCGCCTCAAGTACGCGGCGTGGGCCTTTGCACGGTACTATTCGCACGCCCCCTCGCTATACAACACGTTCTATCTCAGCCAGCGACACAATGCACTCCCGTGAGCCTCCATGCGATGTTTGCCCATATAGCCTGGTAGTTGAATAACTCCGCCTAGCATTTGTCAATGACACATGGCGCGAATCTCACGAAGTTTTGACAAAATGACCATCCTGAAAATCTATTCCCGTAAATCTCGTCGTACAATTCTTGACTATGAACGGATAAGTCAATATCTCACTGTAATGGATCGCCATGTGTCTTTAATACGGCGAATAAAGTATATATATATAAATATATTTATATATATATATGTATATAAAAGCAAATATAAATTCAAATGTATATGTATATCAATACTATAGCGATATATACATATATATATATACATATACACATACGATATATATATATATGCAAACATATACACATATATACATACATATACGCATACACATACATACATATATATATGCATACCTACACATATACATACAGAAACACACACACATATATATATATAGGTAAGATTGCATATAGAGATATACATAACGCACACACAGACACAGACACAGACGCAGATATATATATATATGTATATGAAGATAACACATATATTCATACATACATAAATACACACACACACACATATATATATATATATGTGAAATGACATATAGAGATATACATACGTATATGTACGTACACATATACAAACACACACATATATATAACGCACACACAGACACAGATGCAGATATGAATATATATATATATATATATATGTGTGAAATTACATATAGAGATATACATACGTATATGTGCGTACACATATACAAACACACACATATATATAACGCACACACAGACACAGATATGAAGTTATTAATAAATATATATATATACATATTTATTTGTAAATAGCACACACTCACGTACATACATACATACACACTCACACACACACTCACACATATATATATATAGGTATATATACATATAGAGATATACATACATATATGCATACACACACATACACACAAACACACAGACACAGATGCAGATACATATACACATAAGTATATATCTATACATATATATATATATATATAATATAATTAATACTCATAAATACATGCATGCATACACACGCACATATATACAGAAATATATGCATATATAAATAAATACGTATTTATACGCTTTCGTATGCTGGGATGTTCGAGGGGTTTTAATAGTATACAAATCGGCCGTACTAAAGCGAGAATACATACGTAAAGCGGACAAAACATACAATGATAAAGTACCGTTATGATGCGCAGCTACTGTTTACAAGCATACTGAAATCTTGCTAAAGCCTTCCCCATCATAAAAATATGCTCACTTATGGGATTTTATATTTATAGCTCTTTGTGACCGCGTCTTCATCCGTGCGCACAGGGATATAAAAGTAAGGACACTGAAAGGCGTGAGGTGGTAATTCCACGTGTGTATGCATGTTCGCAAACCATTCGGCTTTTATTAGTACATGTGTGTGCAGTTCTGTTTGTTACATTCAATCTAACCATACGCATAATACATATATACACATCTACATACATACACATACACAGCATACTCATATAACATATAATACATATATGTATGCATGTACACATATATCTTAGTAGTTGTGGAGTAGGCGTATTGCTATCACTGCTGACGACACATATTGAATGTGCTAAAAGCTATTCTTATACTGAGGGCACCTCTTGTGAGATAGCGAACCGGGTGTCAATAATACCTTCAAAATGACCAAACGAGCTTCACATCTTTTTACAGCTATCACTGTGTACACGGTCAGAATGTATGCAGGGATCTGTTCGCAGATACATAACGAAGCATAGGTAGCATATATCGCAGGAATACATGTGGTGAGGCATTGTGTGTTGTGTGTGGCATCTGCATCTGCCTAACTCAAAACTCAGCAGCACACGGCATCCTTGCGCTCAGCACATAATTTTGACGATTAAATTTGATTCAAAAGCCTATGTGGGAACCTATGTACACACCTGGCACTCCGCTGTGCAGCAATCCGCTCCTTTGTCGCAGAGACGATCAAAATTGGCCACCAGACCACAGACTACACACCCATACTGATGGTTCGTATCCATATGAATATCTGTAATAATGAGCCCCTACCCCTTGGTGTCCACTGTCCTGGTATTTAGATAACTGCAGAGAGCAGACTCAACAAGCCTGAGAGCGAGCTTCCTTGATATCGATAAACCAGAACTGGCTGCCTCAATGTCAGGAAGGTCATAGAGTCATTCATACGTAAATACAACGTATTTTTTTATAAATAACAAAAACTCATCATGAAGCACTGGTAAATAGTTTATAAAAATATTTGGTAGTCTGGAACTGTCATGAGGCTGGGGAACTCTGGGGGGTTGATTTGGTTCACAACTCAAAAAGTGTTGCTTATCGGGTTTTGGTTTCTGATTTGGCCGCCGTTAAATCGTTTATAGTTCCAAAGATAACTTGTTCACGTTTAACGTTTATATGCAATAGCAACTTTAGGTCATTGATAAGGTACAGATTTCCAAGTCATATAAATGTTAAACCGTTTACAAGCCCCCTAAAAAGTACATGTTGACGTTTAAATTTTTTTTCTTCATATGTATATCATGACCTGATGTTTTAGGGTCTAAGGTTATCTCAAAATCCGAATTTTCGTATAATCCCGTTTTTAACGTAAGTCCTACCTTTTAAAGCACTAGTAGGACTATTTTCGTATATAGATCTTATATATTGCACCTCAGACACCAGATACTACACCCGTGTCAACCATATAGGGCCGAATCAGTCAACGCTAAGAGTTACCATAAAAGGCATCGACTAATAGACGTTTACGGTAACGTAATGAAGATACATGTCTAAGTTGTGAGAGCATGTGACTCCTTAGGTAGTGTAGAAAGTTATATTCCCCGACATTTCATTGGGCTATGCACGTTGATTGCATCTCTGATCTATTTAAACATATATTTACATGGGCAACGTAAGTACATAGACATTGATTTTTCAAATATGCACTGTACTGTCTTCTGTATGTATGTCCGAGGTATTCTTGGCATCTCTATATATGAACGAATCAAATGATTATTGAACAGCATAACTACTTTTAAGACACTGGTGAGTAAGCATCAGAATAAAACGACTCTTAACCAGATTTATAGATATTTCAAACTCAGACATAATGGCCATTAACACAGATAGCACTCCCCGTTCAGGATGGGCTGTAGAATCGTCCATCGTAGCGAAACGCACGTTTAACCCCATCCGTACAGTGGTGGATCAGATGAAGATCGTGCCCCACCCAGATAAGGTATGAGTTGGTGTGCATGCTAACGAGCTGTACCGAACTGAATCTGTCGAAAGGAGTAGTGTACCTTATATTTTATCCGCTGCAACTTCTCGTCAATTTGCCAAGTGCTCCTCACTTTGTGCTTGCCAACTAGCTGGGTCTGTACCTCTCGCACTTCCTGTGGTTGGTTGGTTTTGTCAGTTGATTCAAACCTTACTACGGCGTGTGTATGTGACTTCTGGTTGCGCGTGGTTTGTTAGACTGATTTTCACAATCGACACCTCACATCGCACGTCACATTCACGTCACATTTATCAATCGCACAACTTGACTCGCCGGGTGATATTCACTATTCATGGCCAGAACAACTCTCTTTGTTCTATATGTGCATGAATATACAAGTCAATTTAGTCTACAAGTTATCTGATATACGGTTTATCCATAGTTCGAACAGTTGTGAGTACTGTACGCTATTGTTGAGTGTGTCTCAGCGCAGATTGAGACCGCCCATATATCGGACCTGGTTGGGATGTAGAAGTGGCCTCCGCGTATGAATTTACACTAGCCTGTAGACCCACTCCTGTACTTGGCCAAGAAACGAGTTTCTCAATTGTCTTTGTTTCCTATTAATGGATTTGAATTCAAATGCTCACACTGTACAATTGCGACTGCAATTAGCCAAGTGAAGGCACTCGCAATCTGTCGTCCTGCTCTAAGCAGAGATTTAGTTACTTCGCATGTTGACATTATTGACACATTAGACAGGAAAACTGTCGTTCCCTGAACTCAGATATGAATCTTATGCTAACTTCTTCGGTACAATACACAGGCTATGATCGCACTTTCCATTGGCGACCCCACTGTGTTTGGCAATCTGAGTGCACCCGAGTCTGCGGTCGAGGCCACCATCGCGAACGTACACACCGGAAAGTTCAACGGCTATTGCCATTCTGCTGGTATGTATCATGGGCTCGATATAATATCTTTTCACCATGTCGGTGTAAGCATACTTATTGTGAATGCCTGTATTTGATCGGCTAGATATACTGTATACTATTGTCAATATAAGCATGTGTAGAGCGAGTATTTGATGGATAGCTTTAGTCTCACCCGTTATATATATATATATATATATATAT